TATTTCATTAGAGCAATATTCCAGTAAAAACAGTCGGACCCTGTTATTTCATTAGAGCAATATTCCAGTAAAAACAGTCGGACCCTGTTATTTCATTAGAGCATTATTCCAGTAAAAACAGTCGGACCCTGTTATTTCATTAGAGCAATATTCCAGTAAAAACAGTCGGACCCTGTTATTTCATTAGAGCATTATTCCAGTAAAAACAGTCGGACCCTGTTATTTCATTAGAGCATTATTCCAGTAAAAACAGTCGGACCCTGTTATTTCATTAGAGCATTATTCCAGTAAAAACAGTCAGACCCTGTTATTTCATTAGAGCAATATTCCAGTAAAAACAGTCGGACCCTGTTATTTCATTAGAGCATTATTCCAGTAAAAACAGTCGGACCCTGTTATTTCATTAGAGCAATATTCCAGTAAAAACAGTCGGACCCTGTTATTTCATTAGAGCATTATTCCAGTAAAAACAGTCGGACCCTGTTATTTCATTAGAGCATTATTCCAGTAAAAACAGTCGGACCCTGTTATTTCATTAGAGCATTATTCCAGTAAAAACAGTCGGACCCTGTTATTTCATTAGAGCAATATTCCAGTAAAAACAGTCGGACCCTGTTATTTCATTAGAGCATTATTCCAGTAAAAACAGTCGGACCCTGTTATTTCATTAGAGCATTATTCCAGTAAAAACAGTCGGACCCTGTTATTTCATTAGAGCATTATTCCAGTAAAAACAGTCGGACCCTGTTATTTCATTAGAGCATTATTCCAGTAAAAACAGTCGGACCCTGTTATTTCATTAGAGCATTATTCCAGTAAAAACAGTCGCACCCTGTTATTTCATTAGAGCATTATTCCAGTAAAAACAGTCGCACCCTGTTATTTCATTAGAGCATTATTCCAGTAAAAACAGTCGCACCCTGTTATTTCATTAGAGCAATATTCCAGTAAAAACAGTCGAACCCTGTTATTTCATTAGAGCAATATTCCAGTAAAAACAGTCGGACCCTGTTATTTCATTAGAGCAATATTCCAGTAAAAACAGTCGGACCCTGTTATTTCATTAGAGCATTATTCCAGTAAAAACAGTCGGACCCTGTTATTTCATTAGAGCATTATTCCAGTAAAAACAGTCGGACCCTGTTATTTCATTAGAGCATTATTCCAGTAAAAACAGTCGGACCCTGTTATTTCATTAGAGCAATATTCCAGTAAAAACAGTCGGACCCTGTTATTTCATTAGAGCATTATTCCAGTAAAAACAGTCGGACCCTGTTATTTCATTAGAGCATTATTCCAGTAAAAACAGTCGGACCCTGTTATTTCATTAGAGCATTATTCCAGTAAAAACAGTCGGACCCTGTTATTTCATTAGAGCATTATTCCAGTAAAAACAGTCGCACCCTGTTATTTCATTAGAGCATTATTCCAGTAAAAACAGTCGGACCCTGTTATTTCATTAGAGCATTATTCCAGTAAAAACAGTCGCACCCTGTTATTTCATTAGAGCATTATTCCAGTAAAAACAGTCGCACCCTGTTATTTCATTAGAGCATTATTCCAGTAAAAACAGTCGCACCCTGTTATTTCATTAGAGCATTATTCCAGTAAAAACAGTCGGACCCTGTTATTTCAATAGAGCATTATTCCAGTAAAAACAGTCGGACCCTGTTATTTCATTAGAGCATTATTCCAGTAAAAACAGTCGGACCCTGTTATTTCATTAGAGCATTATTCCAGTAAAAACAGTCGGACCCTGTTATTTCATTAGAGCATTATTCCAGTAAAAACAGTCGGACCCTGTTATTTCATTAGAGCAATATTCCAGTAAAAACAGTCGGACCCTGTTATTTCATTAGAGCATTATTCCAGTAAAAACAGTCGGACCCTGTTATTTCATTAGAGCATTATTCCAGTAAAAACAGTCGCACCCTGTTATTTCATTAGAGCATTATTCCAGTAAAAACAGTCGCACCCTGTTATTTCATTAGAGCATTATTCCAGTAAAAACAGTCGGACCCTGTTATTTCATTAGAGCAATATTCCAGTAAAAACAGTCGGACCCTGTTATTTCATTAGAGCATTATTCCAGTAAAAACAGTCGGACCCTGTTATTTCATTAGAGCATTATTCCAGTAAAAACAGTCGAACCCTGTTATTTCATTAGAGCATTATTCCAGTAAAAACAGTCGGACCCTGTTATTTCATTAGAGCAATATTCCAGTAAAAACAGTCGGACCCTGTTATTTCATTAGAGCATTATTCCAGTAAAAACAGTCGCACCCTGTTATTTCAAGCCTAACCGGACTGTGTAGTAACTACAAGCTATCACAAAAGTTATCAATCATTGCTGACAAGATACATTTCAGTTTGTCATGGCATACACGTGTTGTGTTCTTAATTACCCGTGGATGCAGTCGTAGAGCTATGAATCTATTTAACTGTTTCTTGACCTATCTGCTTGTCCACGCTTCGTTATATGTCAAAGTTACAACAAGGCAGCCTTTGAAATTGGCACTAGTCCTGAGTCTTTGCCAAACAGCCCAATAGTTAAGGTATCATAAGGACTAGTAGAAATTTGACCTTCTTTAAAGGGCAAGTTCACCCGGAAATGAACCTAATTTTCTGGTACTTTTTCCACAATAAAAGTGTTAACCTAGAAATGTCATAGACAAAAATATTAAAATATCACAATTAATTAACATATGTTTTGCATTAAAACGATTTCTATTTTTCACATTTACCAAGTGTTCTATTTCCATAACAAAAACACCATGGCTTATGCCCCTTGCAATATGATGTCATTGGTGCCAATTGATAAACATTATGACGTCATCATGCTTTGTTAGAGCCGCTTCACGTGGTGTAGGTACAGGTGTGTGATTCTAGCGTCTCAGATGCCAGCCAGCATAGTGTTATGCTGAGTCACCACTGCGCCGGAGTGTGTCGTAGGCCATGTTGTTTTACCGCAAACTTGTACTTGATATCTTTTACGTTCAGAATAGACAGGGACCCAGTTGAATTGGCACCAATTACGTCATAATCTAAGGGGGATAACTCAGGCCTGTTTAGCTCGAAAAACGAAGGCCTCATAACGACATATCATTTTCACACTATTATGAGCTTCCTACTTTCACTGTGAAAAAAATGAGTGTATATTTTCAAACACAGATACTAACTAATTCTAAAATTGCGTTTTGTTTAGAAAAAGAAAAAAAGTGATTTTTGCGTGTACACTTCCCCTTTAAGGGTTTTGCTATATGTTGTCATTATACGGACTAGGGGACTGAAACTGTTCGTTTCTACGGCTGCAAGTTCCAGCTAGGTTCGAGATACCAGGGTCCGACTGTTTGTTGTTTATTATGGAAAGGATGATTGAATGAAAGCTGCAAAACAGATATACTCAAGGAAATAAGTAAGGGAACATGCAGCGACACAACAGAAAAGAGTGGACCTCTGTTTTCAATGCATCACCAAAACACTACCCAGATTCAAACAGAAGTACAATATTCGTCATGCACTACACAAACAAATCACCCCCCACCCTGTTATACCATGTGCCGGGGGATAAAAGTTAAGTACCACCCAATTCTTTCATATGACTACAGCTGTCCGATGGCCCTTAACTTTGTTTTAGTAGTATACTGCAACATTTTTTAGACATGCCACAGGAGTCATCGTAATTGATGAAAGTTGATACAGTATCACTACAAATTTATGATTATCGATACTGAATTAATAAGTCACCGACATGGTTAAGATTACCATGGTTACGACGGACAGAGTGAGAAGGCAGAAGGGTTAGGATCAGCCTGGGTCATATTTAGCATTAAATTAAAGGTGTACAAAGGTATTACTTAGCGATTCACATACCAAATAATTAATCTTATCAATACATCAAAATATTGTGATACATCCGAGACGATTTATTCATTCCAAGTTAGAGTCTGTACCAAGTTCTATAATAAGATTTGTCATAAATAATTGTTGAGTATTCATTAGCTTGTGCTGCATTTAATGATAATTACGTTTGTTGGTTGGTTGGTTTGTTGTTTAACGCCGCACTCAGCAATATTCCAGCTATATGACAGCGATCTGTAAATAATCAAGTCTTGACCAGACAATCCAGTGATTAATATCATGAGCATCAATCCACGCAATTGGGATCGATGACATGCGTCAACCAAGTCAGCGAGCCTGACCACCCGATCCCGTTAGTCGCCTTTTACGACAAGCATGGTCACCTTTTACGGCAAGCATGGGTTGCTGAAGACCTATTCTACCCCGGAATCTTCACGGGTCTACTTACGTTTGTGATATGATTTAACTATATATGTGTTTATCAATTACCCGCGACCTTGTGTGATGTAGCTCTTATAGCCTCCTGGATAACAAAGTGCTATCTTATCTTATCGTAAACTTATTCCATTAATTTCCATAAATCAACTTAATGCTAAATATGAACCAGGATAAGGCTAAGAAAATAAAAGAATTGGTTCTCAGGCAATGGCTTTTGAAAATACAGTGCCAGCAGGCAGTGGTCTTTCTTTGGGGGTGTGTGTTCAAATTAGTATGTAACCAAATAAACAGCTGTGTAACCAAATAAACAGCTGTGTAACTAAATAAACAGCTGTGTAACCAAATAAACAGCTGTGTAACCAAATAAACAGCTGTGTAACCAAACAAACAGCTGTGTAACCAAACAAATAAACAATTGTGTTTAATAAACCTGGGAAAGGGCCCAGGAAATAAAAATGAAACGTGTTGCGAACTCTATAATGATGCGGGCGGTGCCTGAGAAGCAAGACTATTATTTTTTTTAGCCTGATTTACACAGTAAGCACACCAGTTTTCACGTTTATACCTCCGTAAACGCAAAACATATGGAAGTCGATTCTTAAAGGAACACAATCATTCAGGTATACACACTGCAGCATAACGAAACCACACAGGGAACTGAGAACCCAACACAAACAACATCAGTAACAGATGACATTTACCTCTCTGGACGACCAAGGTGTTACTTTAGCCTGACCGGTTAAACAAAAGTAAGAAATATTGTATTAGTTCATGATAAATATGAGCGTTAGGTGATGAATGATTCCACATGATCTGGAACTGTTACCATGGTTACCATAAGGTGATGATTAATAATCAGGGGGGTCAAATTAGGGGATCATTGAGGTTTGTCAAATTGGGAATACAATCATTATTTTGTTCAAAATTGGGATCTTCCTCATGTTCGGAGGTATATTAATATTGCGTTCATGCAATAAAGTAAACTTTAAGTAAGCTTCTTCTTCATTCGTGACAGACTCGTGTTATTCCGGGACAAGACGAATAGCGACTCGTGCCCCTCTCATGGCCATTTTTACGGCCGGGTTCCGTCTTAACGCAAACGGGCATACCTAAAACAATTGTCAACTCGTTGCGTCGTGGTTAACATATATTTCCCCATATTATATATATATATTTCAGATGCAATTTAAGGCATATCGGGACGTGCGGAATTATACAGTATGATTGAACACATGTAACTGTGTCTTAAGTATATTTTTAGATGCAAGACAGATGTAAAATCAAAAATAATTTCTGAGGGATTCTTTGACGAAGAACTTGAAATCATACGCGCGTTCTGATTGGTTTGTCGTGTTTTCGCACATAACCATGATAACACTCATCGGTAGGGGGACGAGTTTTCTTACAGGTTACAGAAAGGGGCGAGTGGTGACCAATGCTTCTTGTGTTTTGGTCCTGTTGTCAGTGGAACACAAAGCATATCCACCAAGTTGTTGTTGTTGTTGTTGTTGGTTTGTTGTTTTACGCCGCACTCAGCAATATTCCAGCTATATGACGGCGGTCTGTAAATAATCGAGTCTGGACCAGACAATCAAGTGATTGATATCATGAGCATCGATCCAAGCAATTGGGATCGATGACATGCATCTACCAAGTTAGTGAGCCCGACCACCCGATCCCGTTAGTTGTCTTTTACGACAAGCATAGTCACTTTTTACGACAAGCAGAGTCACCTTTTAAGGCAAGCATGGGTTGCTGAAGACCTATTCTACCCCGGAATCTTCACGGGTCTCTCCACCAAGTCATCACATCAGCATAATTAGTCCTAACTGCGGAGTAGGACATGATTTCCAATTCTGGAATTTTCTGGACAATTGCTGCAGACTTGGAGCCTCTGAGCAGACCTAAATATATCCTTTTAAAGCATTTGAATCGAGGGCCCATATGTATGTACCAATGACCCCTTGATGTTCATGCTTAATTTCCAACACTGATTTCAAACCAAGTGAGTGAGTGAGTGAGTGAGTGAGTGAGTGAGTGAGTTTGGTTTTACGCCGCTTTTAGCAATATTCCAGCAATATCACGGCGGGGGACACCAGAAATGGGCTTCACACATTGTACCCATGTCAGGATTTGAACCCGGGTCTTCGGCGTGAAGAGTGAACGCTTTAACCACTAGGCTACCCGGTCGCCCCATTTTAAACCAAGAAGAAAGCTTTCACACTCACTGGAAACAATCATACCTTCTCAGTGTAGCGAGTGAATTAGGTTAAAATTCTTTTGTGAACAGATTTCAGTACTATCACAGTGTGTCAGTGAGTGAGCAAGTGAGTGAGCTGCCACTTTGAACCAGGATTCCGACCAACAATCAAAGGTGACTGGCGTACCCAAGGGATGCAACTCTGCACAGCGAATTGCAGCCCTTAGATGACTGGGCTTCCTGTGCCCTAGTCGGTGTGGAAAGAGTTCCAATTAAGGTCAGATACACAATTTGACTTTTTCACTGCAAATAATTTGGCAATGGGTTTCGCAATTCATATTACTACTGAGTGTCCCTGTTCTCAAAACTAATTACCGTATTACACGTGATAAGCGCCCCGCTCTAATAAGCACCCACGGCGATATTTGCTAATATATTGGCCAATGAACAATCCTGATTAGCACCCCTTCCGATTGATCAATGTACACAAGACTTATTTATTCGCGTATAATACGCACTCATGTGTTATATGCACCCTTAATTATGGGCAATTAAATTCTGGAAAATATATCTGTCGTACATTAACATTTCAGGCTGTCAGCATAAACCACGAAATTTATCTTTTAACTCTGTTTTTTTCCCACTAAAATAATAATCTAATAAGAGCCCCCTATTTCTAATTTTGAGAGTGCCCTGGGCGATTATTACGTTGAATACGGTAACCCAGATCAATCTGTGTCCAGGTGATTAATTATAAGGACTACTCTGATTCATTCAGTCGCCTCTGATGACAAGGATATGTTTCCGGGGACCTATTCTAACCATGAATCCCTACAGGTGTCGATAACAATCAAGACTTGTTCACCTGGGAGCAGTTGGCATCTCGGTCCCCGTCGGCCGGTGCTCGGATGAGCTGCCATTCGCCGCCCTTGTCGAAGGTGATCAAGCTCCGCTGCTGGTCTATGTCAAGAGCTGCTGTAAGGAGCTGGGACGCTATGAAGATACCTCGCATGCCATCAACTCGATGAATGTCAGCAAATGTCTCGTTTGTGTAGTACCTGGAAAAGAGTGAGTGAGTGAGTGAGTGAGTGAGTGAGTGAGTGAGTGAGTGAGTGAGTGAGTGAGTGAGTGAGTGAGTGAGTGAGTGAGTATTTCAGTTGTATCACCGTATGCAGCTTAAAGTGGCAAGAAAATGAATCAGGTCTAGACGTTTAGGACTTTGTTGAAACTGAAGGGAACGGGCATGGTGCGGACAAACCTAGAAACATTAAGAGAGCAAATCTGGGATTCGAACCCACGATCATATGCTTCTGTAACGCCTAAGGGATGCAAGCCTCAGAGAATTGAGGCGTTTAGATGACTGGGCCACCCAAGACCCTGACAGATCAGTGATTATAATGTGGGATTCATCGCATTCTGACAAAAATAATCAAAGTGAATCTGGGATTCAAGTCAATGGACATTGGATTCTGACCAAAAAAAATTAAGCGAACGATCATCGGATTCTGTAACGAACATCGGATACTGACAAAAATAATCAAATGGAATCTTGGATTCAAGCAAATGAACATAGGATCCTGACAAAAATAATTAAATTGAATCTTGGATTCAAGCAAACCAACATCGGATTCTGACAAAAATAATCAAATTGAATCTGGGATTCAAGTAAATGAACATAGGATTCTGACAAAAATAATCAAAGTGAATCTGGGATTCAAGTAAACGGGCGACATATTCTCACAAACATAAAAAAAGAGAATATGGGATTCAACCCACGATCATAAGACTGTCCTACAAGAACTATAGTTTAGATAACCATTCACAAAGTGTTGACAAGCCGAGATACGGACCTGAGCCATGTGTCTTTGTTAGCTCCCTTCGGGTTGTAGTAGACGACTCTCTCCAGTGACAGCGAGAACCGGAAGCCCTTCACCTCAGAGATGTAGAGGTTGGTGGCACTGCTGTTGTGGTAAACACACACCATCACCTGATCCTCTGAAGCATCCGCGATGTAATACTCCTGCAAAAAGTCAGAGTCAACAAGAGTCAGTCAGAGTCAGTCACTCACTCACTTACAGTCTTTATTTGTTTGTTGTCTAACGCTGCACTCAGCAATATTCAGAAATAAAGACCCTGATTGAACTGCCCTGTGTTTTATATAGTCTGTTATATTCCAGAAGATTACAACAATCACTGGACAAAATGCAGAATACTCTGTTCAGAATTTACCCCTTGTCACCAGAAATGGGCTTCACACATTGTACCCATGTCAGGAATGGAACCTGGGTCTTCGGCGTGAAGAGCGAACGCTTTAACCACTAGGCCACCCGACCGCCCCTGACGTGATAAGCCGAGTTCAATCAACTGATCCATATAGTCACTAGCAAAGCTTACTGGTAATGTCCTGATGATCAAGCATCTTCAGCCACATTGTTTGTTGTTTAATGTCACGTTCGGTAATACTCCAGCTATATGACACAGCCTGTTAATAAATGATAACTGGACCAGATAAACCAGTGATTTAGATGCATGCCGATGACATGAAGCCAAGTCACCAACCGATCCATTTAGTCGCCTCTTTCAACAAACATGGGGGCGGTCGGGTAGCCTAGTGGTTAAAGCGTTCACTCGTCACAACGAAGACCCGGGTTTGATTTCCCACACGGGTACAATGTGTGAAGCCCATTTCTGGTGTCCCCTGCCATGATATAGCTGGAATATTGCTAAAAGCGGTGTAAAACCATCCACTCACTCACTACAAAAAGCATAAGTTGTTGCGGACCTATGTTATCCCGGAATCCCTACGGGGCAGTGTTTATTTTACCGTTCCGATACTTACATGGTTGTGGGGTGAGGGGAACTCCGCCTTGAGGAAGGGCCCTCTGTCCGATGACACCCACAGTTGGGTGTACGACTCGGTTGCTCCAAGCAGTCGCTGTAACATGCACAGGGATCTCTCTTTAATCAATTTGCTCAAGAAAATACCGGGGAAAAATACATTGGCTTTTTTTACCGAAGCCTTTTAGGGCCATTTGTTTTTGTTTTATTTTTGTCTTGAAATTTCAAGTTGTTATGTTGAAATTTCAAGATACTAATTGGAAATTTCAAGATACATACAAAGTTGAAATTTCAAGATACTAATTGGAAATTTCAAGATACATTCGAAGTTGAAATTTGAAGATAATGAGATGAAATTTCAATATTATAACCTTAAATCTCAACTTATTATCTTCCAATTTCAAGATACATGTACTAAGTTGGAATTTAAGATGCTCTGTTGAAATTTAAGATCCTATCTTCATGATCTTAGTATCTTGAAATTTCAACATAACATCTTGAAATTTCAACAAAAAGTCTTGAAATTTCAAGGAAAAGAAAAATATGACCCTAAAGGAATTCGTAGGTTTTAGACATGTTTTTACAAAATTGTTTGATCAAATACGTGCTGTAGAAGAAACAATATAAAAAGTTTATCCCTTTCAGAGAAAACATTTGCAGGTCTTGAAACTGCGACTGAAAAATATCCTTTAAAAAAAAAGTAAAACTGAGGGCCTGTAAATAATTGAGTGTGGACCAGACAATCCAGTGTTTGAGCAAAGATCCATGGTACGATGATGACTCCATATGAAACAAGTCACCAATTACATCATCACTTCTTAGGATCAACAGAGTTTGCTGGAAACAAATTCTTACACCAAATACTGAAGGCTTAGGAAAATAAAAGCATTGGTTCTCAGGCAATGGCTTTTGAAAATAAAGTGCGGGCAGGCAGTAGTTTTTTGTTTATTTTTGCTTGTTCCAATTAATATGTAACCAAATAAACAGTGGTGTACCATCAACCTGGGAAAGGGCCTCCCTACATAAACAAGCATACAAACTCCTATTGCCGCCATGACCATAACTGCGTGCTACATTGGATTGCATTTTTATAGTGTCAGTATTTTTTTAACAATTTTAAATGGAAATAAAAATGAAACATGCGGCAGACTTAAGAACCAAGACTATTATTTTTTTAGCCAAAGGGGAGATTTAATCAGCTAGCATGACTCACCACGTTTTTTGTAGCAAACATGTATTTCCCTCGGACTTCAAAGTCCTTCACGTCTGAAATGAGAGTCTTCTTATTGGCTGATGTCCGGAACAGATCTGTGCTCTTGTATACAACGTCTAACATAACAAATCCTTGGGGCCGCTCCTCTTCCACATAGATGGTCGCTGCTGTGTCGTAAGGTAGCACTCCCCTGGAACCACAAGAGTCAACACGTAAGTGATGCGTGCGTGCGTGCGTGCGCAGGGGTAGAAACTAACATATTTAGTCCACTAGTCCTTATAATGATAACATATTGCAAAACCTTTAAAAATGGCAAATATCTACTAGTCCTTATAATACCTTAACTATTGGGCAGTTTGGCAAGGACTACAGGACTAGTGCCAATTTCTAACGCTGGTGTGTGTGTGTGTGTGTGTGTGTGTGTGTGTGTGTGTGTGTGTGTGCGTGTGTGTGTGTGTGTGTGTGTGTGTGTGTGTGCGTGTGTCTGTGTGTGTCTGTGTGTGTCTGTGTGTGTCTTTGTGTGTTGTGTGGCTGCTTGTACTAATATAGATTTTATAGTGCTAGCCTGAGTAGTTTAACATGAATACCCCACTCTGACACAGTACACTGACTCCAAACCAACCAGTCCCTATTTTAGCCCTTTAATGCTGAGTGCCAGACAGGGTAACAACAAGTACCATCTTTTAGCGTCTTTTGGTATGACGTGACAGGGATCGAACCCCGCTCTCTGGGCGGATGCTATACCACTAGACCACGGAAGCAGTCCCAACAAGTAAGTGAGTTTTGTTTACAGCCATCATGAACAATATCAGCCTCATCACTGCTAGTCGTATTCATGTGGAGGAAAGCCCAAACTGATGCAGGTCTTGGATGTATACCACTTGGAGTGAGTGAGTGAGTGAGTGAGTGAGTGAGTGAGTGAGTGAGTGAGTGAGTGAGTGAGTGAGTGAGTGAGTGAGTGAGTGAGTGAGTGAGTGAGTGAGTGAGTATGGTTTTACGCCGCTTTTAGCAATATTCCAGCAATATCACAGCGGGGGACACCAGAAATGGGCTTCACATATTGTACCCATGTCAGGAATCAAACCCGGGTCTTCGACGTGACGAGCGAACGCTTTAACCACTAGGCTACCCGACCGCCCCCTTACCACTTGGAAATGCAGGTGAAAGATAATGAACCTAGAAAAATCAACCTAGAAAAATAAGCAGGACCAATCTGGGGTATAAACCTCATAGGATCCTGGAACACCAAAGGGAGGTAACTCTGTGTTAAGTGGCACTCACCAGTAGAAGGATTTCACATTATCGCCAACTCTACGCCAGGTAAACCCGAAGTCCTGTGACAGGTACAGCTGAAACACACACCAGAAAACATGTCAGGATGAGGGGAGGAGAAATTGGTTTTTCGTTGTGTTTATTTGTTTAAACATATTTTGTTCTCATGAAAAGGATTGGGCACAAATTATCACAACTTGGAACGCCCTCTCCCATAGATTTACATGCATGCTTATTTACAATTAATAAATTAAATGACAGAAAGGAAAGAAGAGAAATAGAGAAACTTATGTACATTCGTTTCTAGCTGATTTAAACAAGAGTCATTCGAAGATGACATATCCCCCCGACGTGGCATGTCGGTAAACTGTGTGTACCTTCAGATGTATTTAGATTGGCAAGGAAAGCTTTTTCCTTGATGCCAAAACCAGAAATATAATGAAGGTTATTAAATATTGGTTCATGTAGCTCGCTTTCTGATGATCTCATGAAATTGTAATAACAATAACTTCGCAGATTCGCATATGAATAGCTCTGTAGTAGCCTCATGACACAAAGGCATAAAGAGAATGTACTATGTTATGTAACTCACATCATATATAGTATATGATATCGGTAAATAGTACACCTTAGAATTATATGTCAGGGGCTACAAATTAAAAAGATTAAAATCTATAAATAACAAACTGCACTACTAGTGAACATGATTGATATGTGCATAAAGTTTGGTGAATCTCTGTCGCATGGTTTAGAAGATATGCTCCAGACGAGGACATTACCCTAAGTTCATCAATTTTCAATTTAAATTTAAAAAATAAAAAAAAATAAAAATATGTTTATAGCAAAGGCACCACTACATAACCTGCTTGATAGGTGTAAAATCTTTTGAGAAGCTAAGTTGTATGGTTCGGGAAATATGGTCCGGACAAGAGCACTACCCTCAAATTTCTAAGTTCATCATATTTCCATGGAAACGACAAAAATATAAAATTCTAAAAATCTCTTAATAGCAAAAGGCTCTACTACTGAGCCTGATTGGTAAGTGTACCAAGTTTTGTGAAGCTGGGTTGTACGGTTTAGGAAATATGCTCCGGACAAACAATGATTACAGACGGACAGACGGATGGACGGACGGACGGACATACTGATGGCTATATCCCCCCGTCATTATATGTCGGGGGGATAAAAAAGGACATTTTGTTGTGTTCTAGATCATTACAAAGACGACCATAACTCCCACACTTTAACAATGGCTTACAACAGCCGTAGTGCTAATATCATTTTGTGGTTTTCCATTCAACAGAAAAAAGGCAGTATTGATCATGCTTAGGCAAGTTGACTGGTTTTGTCTATTGCACGCACCTCTTTTGTAGAGCTCTGTTCGTCCATGGCAAGAACCAAGTCTGGGTTGACACTGTTGATGGAGATCTGACGAGGTTTGAAGGTCAAGCCACAGATTGTGCTGAATGACCTGGCATAGTCCCTGGTGGTGAATATGCATCGGTCCTCTATGTCCGTGAAGATGTACTGGAACAGAGACATATAGGAACCATTAGCTTGATAACAGCGGAACTCTCTACCACATTAGATTGGCCAATTAAAGCGTTTGTTGGTTTGTTGTTTAACGCCGTACTCAGCAATATTCCAGCTATATGGTGGCGGTCTGTAGATAATCGAGTCTAGACATCCTGAGCATCGATCTACCCAGATGGGATACGATAACATGCATTGATATCGATGTCCAAGTCAACAAGCCTGACTACAAATCCATTTGACTCTTACGACCAACGTAAGTTGACGGCGATTGTGATTGGCATCTCTGCCACTGTGGCCACTGTGGCTGCATTCATGCTTGTACTAGTCTGGACTGATGCTGATTTATAGTGCTAGCTCACTGAGATACCATGCTGCAGTTTAACATGAATACCCTACTCAGACACAGCATACTGACTCCGAGCCGACCTGTCTTTGTTTTAGCCCCTTAATCGTGTTAATGCTGAGCGCCAGACAGGGTAACAACAAGTACCATCTTTTAACGTATTTATGTATGATGTGGCCGGGGATCGATCCCCGGACCTTCCGCTCTCTGGGCGGATGCTCTGAGACAACGGAGGCAGTCCGCATTCTATTGGCCAATTAAAGCATTTGTTGTTTAATGCCGCACTCAGCAATATTCCAGCTATATGACGGCGATTGTAATTGTTGGCATCTCTGCCACTGCGGCCGCATTCATGTGTCTGCTTGTACTAGTCTGGACTGATGCCGTTTTAAAGTGCTAGCTCACTGAGATACCATGCCACAGTTTAACATGAATACCCCACTCAGACACAGTATACTGACTCTGAGCCGACCAGTCCTTGTTTTAGCCCCTTAATGCCGAGCGCCAGACAGGGTAACAACAAGTACCATCTTTTAGCGTCTTTTGGTATGACGTGGCCGGGGATCGAACCCCGGACCTTCCGCTCTCCGGGCGGATGCTCGGAGACCACGGAGGCTGTCCGCATTCATCTCAGAAAGTTGTTTTCACTGTACTTACGTGACTGTTGTGTGATGGAGTGTTATAGTAGTGAGTGATCTCAGCCTTCTTCCCGTCATGCATCATCAGGCTGCTGATGTCGCTGAAGTTCTTCCCATAATCCCTTGATACAAACACTCTACTTCCTGAGGTGCCAAGTCCATTCCTCGCCAACGCAATGATGACTTTACTGCGCTCCCCTGCCCAGTGGACGACCAGCGTTGTGTGGTTGTCATGGAGATCAAACTGAAAGTACAAAAACATTCATCTAACCTTTAGAATATGACACAATGCAAGCCTTATCATGATTCCAGTTTGAAAGGATTTTGTTTGTGTTTGTTTGTTGTTTAACGCCGCACTCAGCAATATTCCAGCTATATGACGGCGGTCTGTAAATAATCGAGTCTGGACCAGACAATCCAGTGATGGACATCATGAGCATTGATCCACACAATTGGGATACGATGACATGCTTCAACCAAGTCAGCAAGCCTGACCACCAGATCCTGTTAGTCGCCTTTTACGACAAGCATAGTCGCTTTTTACAGCAAGCATGGGTTGCTGAAGACCTATTTTACCCCGGAATCTTCACAGGTCTGATTGGAAGACTTGGTGTGTTGGGCAAGCTGTTGAAACAAGATGCCTTGGCAGGCAAATCAGTAGAAATGCATGGTATTTTCAGGAACTGGAAATCTCCATACAAAGGTTCTTCTGTTCTTATATTTAGAGGTATTCCACATTGGTTTCAACAAAACTAATTATCTTCAACAATGTACAAAGAACATGATGAATTATATTCCAAATGTTGTATTTGGGATAACACTTTCTTATTTAAGTACAGATTCTAGTACTTTTTTTGGTCGAGTCTGTCCGGGATTCGAACCCACACTGCCAGAATGAGGTACCTAATCCCCAGCACACAAAGTCAGCAATCTAACCCACTGAGCCACCGAGGCTTTCACTAAATGAGTGAGTGAGTGAGTTGGGTTTAACGCTGCTTTTAACAGTATTCCAGTTATATCACGGCGTGTCAGCTTAATGTGGGAGGAAAGCCCGAAGTGATGCAGGTCTCAGACGTTTACCACTTCGGTGAAACCCACGAGCACGGGTATGGTGCTGACAAACCTAGAAACATAATCGGGGCGAACCGGGATTCGAACCCACAATCATAGGTTTCTGGCGTGCCCAAGGGACGCAACTCTGCACAGCGAATCGCGGCGCCTTAGACGACTGGGCCATCCGTGCCCCCTTCACTAAATGAAAGTCCGACAACTGGTAGTAGAGATCACATACTTTGTATACCCCTCTTGAACAAAATAACTATTTTCCCCATTTTGGGGGCCAATTTTTACTATAAAAAAAGAGTCACAAAAAGAAGAGATAGGCACTAGGGATGCTTCATGTCACCAGAAAAATAATTAAACGTGAAATTGATACACCCAAAAGGCCCCTTCTCCGGGAAAAATAATTAATGACACCAATTCTCGAACTCAGTCTTGATAAGTATCTCTTAGTCTTAGATAAGCTAACTTCAATAGTTTTAGAAAACTTGCCCCCATTGCAGACACTGTGTACTTTTTAAAATCACAGATCAAGGGCCGTAACTCTGTATGCGCAAAATCTAAAAACATGTAGCAAGGGAAGTAACTCTGGAAAATATGAATTCCAAGACCAATTTTCTGACACAGTCTTGACAAGAATCTCATAAAAAAGCATGCAAAGTTTTATTCATGTAACGTCAGTAGTTTCTTAGAAAAGTTGTTCCCATTGCAGAAAGCATGTTAAGTTGGAAAGCACAGAGCAAGGGCAATAACTGTGTTAAATAATAGTTTACAGCACCAATTTTTTAATTCAGTCTTGACCAGTATCTCTTAGGTAAGCATGCAAACTTTAATTCATGAAACGTCAGTAGTCTCTGAGAAAACTTGTCCCCTTTTCACGCACTCAGTTGAAAAGCATTGAGCAAGGGCCATAACTCTGTAAAAAAATGAATTTAAGACACCAATTTTTTTAGATCATGACCATAAATAGCAGTGTGTAAAATTGAACTTCTCTAACTCTAAACTGTGTCCCCTTTGAGGAGCGAACAGATGGAACGACAAAAGGGCGGACGGAAAGACAGAAGGACGGAGGATCGGAAGGACAAACTCAATTCCTGTATCCCCCGCCCCACTTTGTGGCAAGGAAAACATATGTAATAGGAAATCGTGAGCGAAACCTTTCTCATTTTGAAAAAACGTTTTGACATATGCCTGAACATTCTTAAGGGCATACATTTAATCATGCTTAGTGAATATGAAGATTTGTTTAAGTAATAGGTTAAACAACCTTACTAAGTATACTTTATTATTCTTTGGTAATAAACTTTCAACGGAACGAGTTTATTCATGAAAACTTCACATAAAAGGAATTGGAAACGTAAACAGGATCATGTGGTCAGGCTTGCTGACTTGGTTGATCATGTTGATGCACACCATCGTACCCCAATAGTGTAGACCGATGCTCATGATGTCAATCACTGGATTGTCTGTTGCAGACTAGAGTATTTACAGACCGGCTTCATATATACCGTATTCGACGTAATAAGCTCCCTGCTCTTATAAGCGCCCACAGCGATATTTGCTAATATTATTGGCTAGTGAACAATCTCAATTACCACCCCTTCTAATTGATTAATGTACACAAGACTTATTTATTTGTGTATAATACGCACTCGTATGTTATATGCACCCTTAATTATGGGCAATTAAATCCTGGAAAAATATATCAGTCGCATATAAACATTTCAGGCTGTCATCACCATGATCATAAACCACGAAATTTACGATCTTTCAACTCAAAAATTTTTTCTAAACAGAGCCCCCAATTTCTAATTTTGAGAGCGCCATGGGCGCTTATTACATCGATTACGGTAGCTGGAATATTGCTGAGTGCCAACCATATATTCATATATCATAAGCAATAAGGACTAGGGACAGGTCCAAATTTACTACCCAGGTACCCAACTCTCTGTTACATTATCCAACGCAGATAGCCGCTGTCGATCTCAAGTTGGATACAAAATGCCTGATTATGGATTGTTTTACCAGAGCCCTGGCAAAAATGATTTAGATACACATATAAAACAATCTGTTCGTGTATAAACTGATGTTTACTGTAGTCTTATCTTTACTCAAACATAAAAGTCAGGAGAGTGTGCATAATCAGAAAGAAATGTGAACAGGAGCGCAACCATGTAGTTTTATTGGTCTTGTCATTAAACAATATATCACATGACTAACCACAGGTGTGGGTAGTCTTGTGGGGACTTGAGTCATACTCAGTACCCACCCGACCTTAGTTACCTGTCCCAGCCTATTTGCATTGTGAAACAACAGATGTGGGTTGTTGTTTTTTATTAAAAAAAAAGAAGAGTATTGCAGCATTAGAACTTGGCGCTAGTCCTGCAGTCCTTGCAAAACTGCCCAATAGCTAAGGTATCATAAGGACTAGTAGAAATTTGCCATTTTAGAGGGTTTTGCTATATATGTTGATTATAAGAATGAGTGGATTAGTGAGTGAGTGAGTTGGGTTTAACGCCGCTTTTAACAGTATTCCAGTTATATCGCGGCTTTTCAGCTTAATATGGGAGGAAAGCCCGAAGTGATGCAGGTCTCGGACGTTTACCACTTCGGTGAAACCCACGGGCACGGGTATGGTGCTGACAAACCTAGAAACATAATCAGGGCGAACCGGGATTCGAACCCACAATCATAGGTTTCTGACGTGCCCAAGGGACGCAACTCTGCACAGCGAATCACGGCGCCTAAGACGACTGGGACACCCGTGCCCCCCAACGAGTGGATTAAAAATGTTAGTTTTTACCTCTGTATTGTCAGGATTACATTCAAGATCAGCCAAAGAAACTTAACAGGGTGCAGGGCACGATTTAGCACCATAGCAACCTATTATTGTAAAAAAACAACCTAATATTTATATCTACATGCACCAAGTGCATGTTAGAATCTTTCAAATCTATGTCAGAACCGTACTTGTCCAAACAACATCAATCTTTGAACACATTCACTACCTCTAAGCTTTATTTACCATACTACATCAACAATCCCTGAGTTATGTGTTATTTATGATGCTTTTGGGAGTTGGACGTTATGATAAAACAAGTAGGTACTTCAAGATTATGTGCACTTTGAATTTCACGGGACCAGCGTGCAACTTGATCTGTCTGGTGCAGCTAGGTTTTCATGTCAACGTGCACCTGGAGCAAGTTAATCAAGTTCCTTAAAGGGGCAGTACGTCAATGGTTCTGTGTAGTTTTAAATCATGCATGAAATAATATCCGAGTGTGTTGCCACGAGCGCGAATGGATCAATTCTCTAACCATGAAATCAATAGATCTCTGTGAACATGGTGAAGCCAGCAACGCAAGTGCTGCATAGCATGTGTTTTTCATCTATTTCACTTTCGACAGGTTACACATTTAAATAATCATAACTTTTGTTGAGAAAATATTCTGAACGTCAAAAACTATTTCCATATTTGTATTTGTCCTCCATGTGCTGTCATTGAAGCCCTACAGAGAGCTAGCGATATTGTCACTTTGATGTGTAAAGCTATATTGTCATACACCTCACTGTTGCAGTTGAAGTAATATTTCTTAATAAGTATGTAAAACAATTTGTAAAGTGTTTCACTTTCGACAGGTTACACATTTAAATAATCATAACTTTAAATGAGAAAATATTCTGAACGTCAAAAACTATTTCCATATTTGTATTTGTCCTCCATGTGCTGTCATCGAAGCCCTACAGAGAGCTAGCGATATTGTCACTTGATGTGTAAAGCTATATTGTCATGCACCTCACTGTTGCAGTTGAAGTAATATTTCTTAATAATTATGTAAAACAATTTGTAAAGTGCACCGAAAGCCTTCCACTAGGCCTGTCTGTTCTTATTTCAAAATAAGTGTATTTGTTTACAAACAAGAGAGGGGTAGAATAGGTCTTCAGCAACCCATGGTTGCCGTAAAAGGCAACTATGCTTGTCGTAAGAGGCGACTAACAGGATCTGGTGGTCAGGCTCGCTGACTTGGTTGATGCATGTCATCGTATACCAATTGCGTGAATCGATGCTCATGATATCAATCACTGGATTGTCTGGTCCAGACTCGATTACTTACAGACCGCCGTCATATAGCTGAGTGCGGCTTTAAACAACAAACCAACAAAACAAACAAGAGAAAGGTCAGGTTACATTATATGCCTACACCCGCGATGTGATCACTGGACCAGAAACTTTTCTCAAGGAATACAGCGATCAGAACCGAATAAGCTCAGGGGGTTATCAGCTATTGTTTACAAACAATACTTCCAAAGGATGACATACTGCCCCCATGAAAACAAGCCCTGGATTGAAACCAATAATGGTTCGAAAGTACGCTATTTGGCATGCTTAGGCATATGATGTTTTGTGGAAAATGAAATCATTAATCCCAATGCAGGGTTTGAAATAACAGTTTTCGTCCACTAGTCCTTATAATGATAACATATAGCAAAATCCTTAAAAATGGCAAATTTAGTCCTTATGATACCTTTACCATTGGGCAGTTTGGCAAGGACTATAGGACTAGAGCCAATTTCTAACGCTGCAATGATGACACGGTTCATGGTCTGTATAAGTTATTATTATATTTCAAAACACAAAATTCACTTCAAATATCAGTATCTTCTATCTTCAACATGCTTAATGAAGTCTCCTTGTGTAACCATGATGTGCTGATAACTTGTCCACAGCAATCTGCTACTTACATATCAATAAAATATTTGTATACAGGGAAGTGTCGTTCAAAAGCTTATCAATAAACGGTATCCAGTATTACGTAACATGTATTGTTGGCAGCTGCGACTGCGCAGTTACCACAGGTAGATCGCTCAACGAACACAAATACGGAAGTAGTTGGGATCCATTTATAATACCCACTGACGCGGAAAGAGAACATACCGTCAAAGCGCTCAGCGTCTGAACAACTATTTGGTCAATTAAATAGCAACATATTTACAACGCAGACATTAGTAGTTGTAATTAAAATATAATAAGAAGCCTACTATGCTTGTTTCTTGTGCATCCCCAGTCGCGGGACTTTGCGTTGGTACCGATCTGGTGTATCGACGAAGGAGTTGATCCACCTCGTCTTCAGCCTTTGACTCTAATACTTGTATGTTGTGCCCCATTTTCTCGCCTTCGGAAAGAGGAGGGAAGAAAAGTGTGTCTGCTACCCGACCGAATCTCGTCGCGTGACAGTTGTTGTGTAAGAAACTGTACACCAAGAATAGGGCAGGTGCCCAAATCCTTGCTGCCGCCGCCATGTTTATCTTAGATTCTTGAAACTAGTTTCCGCACAACCAACCAACTAGCTATACATATATGTACTTCTTTACTCATCTTGAAAAACATGTCACAAGCTCTGCTATTGTCGGTTGTAAGAATAAAAGTACACTGTTGACACAATTCGATATCATTTGCAAACCCAAAACAAATGAGTTGGTTTAGATGTATTATTTTAAAAAATAAAACAAAATAGTCATTTATATAAACTGAACGTTCAACTTGTATTTGGATTGTGCATCTGTAGCAGTGCTAGAAAAAAATATTAATCCGTAACAACCGATAAAGGAGTTGCTTTTTATAAAATCCATAAAATTCCCAAATTAACATTCTCTTGCCTCGCTACATCTGACGCTACTGTTAGCAGTCGTCAGGAAAACAGTATTTTGGTGAACGATTTATACCTCGTCATATTGTCAACATCAAAGAGCCCGACCAGGTGTGAAGGGGTTCGTGTTTGAACCGACACCAAAAATAAAAAGGTTTTCCTTGAACCAACATGACCTGAGATGTAAGGATCATTCGAAGAAAATTTTATGTTGATGCGCATAAAGGGACATATGCTAGATATATTTTATTTTCACTGACAGCAATTTGTATATATACAGATATAATGGAATGTGCAACATTTTGATAATGAATTATGTAACATATATCTATCTCATCCGTAGTACGTTTTGGTGGAGGGTTGATACAATATCACTGACAGCTTCATAGATAAGACCTGCAACCTACAGGCCTATATATAGAACTTTAGTGCGGGATCGCATTTTGGATGTTGTCAGACGCATGCAGAGAGCACTACGGTTGAGTGAGTGAGTGAGTTGATCGGTTTGTGTGTGGGTGAGTGAGTGAGTGGGTACGTTTTGGTGGAGGGGTGATACAATATCACTGACAGCTTCATAGATAAGACCTGTAATCAACCTACATGCCTATATACAGAACTTGATCATACAGTTTTAAGAGTACGGGATCGCATTTTGGATGTTGTCAGACGCATGCAGAGAGCACTACGATTGAGTGAGTGAGTGAGTTGATGGGTTTGTGTGTGGGTGAGTGAGTGAGTGGGTACGTTTTGGTGGAGGGGTGATACAATATCACTGACAGCTTCATAGATAAGACCTGCAACCTACAGGCCTATATATAGAACTTTAGTGCGGGATCGCATTTTGGATGTTGTCAGACGCATGCAGAGAGCACTACGGTTGAGTGAGTGAGTGAGTTGATCGGTTTGTGTGTGGGTGAGTGAGTGAGTGGGTACGTTTTGGTGGAGGGGTGATACAATATCACTGACAGCTTCATAGATAAGACCTGTAATCAACCTACATGCCTATATACAGAACTTGATCATACAGTTTTAAGAGTACGGGATCGCATTTTGGATGTTGTCAGACGCATGCAGAGAGCACTACGATTGAGTGAGTGAGTGAGTTGATGGGTTTGTGTGTGGGTGAGTGAGTGAGTGGGTACGTTTTGGTGGAGGGGTGATACAATATCACTGACAGCTTCATAGATAAGACCTGCAACCTACAGGCCTATATATAGAACTTTAGTGCGGGATCGCATTTTGGATGTTGTCAGACGCATGCAGAGAGCACTACGGTTGAGTGAGTGAGTGAGTTGATCGGTTTGTGTGTGGGTGAGTGAGTGAGTGGGTACGTTTTGGTGGAGGGGTGATACAATATCACTGACAGCTTCATAGATAAGACCTGTAATCAACCTACATGCCTATATACAGAACTTGATCATACAGTTTTAAGAGTACGGGATCGCATTTTGGATGTTGTCAGACGCATGCAGAGAGCACTACGATTGAGTGAGTGAGTGAGTTGATGGGTTTGTGTGTGGGTGAGTGAGTGAGTGGGTACGTTTTGGTGGAGGGGTGATACAATATCACTGACAGCTTCATAGATAAGACCTGCAACCTACAGGCCTATATATAGAACTTTAGTGCGGGATCGCATTTTGGATGTTGTCAGACGCATGCAGAGAGCACTACGGTTGAGTGAGTGAGTGAGTTGATCGGTTTGTGTGTGGGTGAGTGAGTGAGTGGGTACGTTTTGGTGGAGGGGTGATACAATATCACTGACAGCTTCATAGATAAGACCTGTAATCAACCTACATGCCTATATACAGAACTTGATCATACAGTTTTAAGAGTACGGGATCGCATTTTGGATGTTGTCAGACGCATGCAGAGAGCACTACGATTGAGTGAGTGAGTGAGTTGATGGGTTTGTGTGTGGGTGAGTGAGTGAGTGGGTACGTTTTGGTGGAGGGGTGATACAATATCACTGACAGCTTCATAGATAAGACCTGCAACCTACAGGCCTATATATAGAACTTTAGTGCGGGATCGCATTTTGGATGTTGTCAGACGCATGCAGAGAGCACTACGGTTGAGTGAGTGAGTGAGTTGATCGGTTTGTGTGTGGGTGAGTGAGTGAGTGGGTACGTTTTGGTGGAGGGGTGATACAATATCACTGACAGCTTCATAGATAAGACCTGTAATCAACCTACATGCCTATATACAGAACTTGATCATACAGTTTTAAGAGTACGGGATCGCATTTTGGATGTTGTCAGACGCATGCAGAGAGCACTACGATTGAGTGAGTGAGTGAGTTGATGGGTTTGTGTGTGGGTGAGTGAGTGAGTGGGTACGTTTTGGTGGAGGGGTGATACAATATCACTGACAGCTTCATAGATAAGACCTGCAACCTACAGGCCTATATATAGAACTTTAGTGCGGGATCGCATTTTGGATGTTGTCAGACGCATGCAGAGAGCACTACGGTTGAGTGAGTGAGTGAGTTGATGGGTTTGTGTGTGGGTGAGTGAGTGAGTGGGTACGTTTTGGTGGAGGAGTGATACAATATCACTGACAGCTTCATAGATAAGACCTGTAATCAACCTACATGCCTATATACAGAACTTGATCATACAGTTTTAAGAGTACGGGATCGCATTTTGGATGTTGTCAGACGCATGCAGAGAGCACTACGATTGAGTGAGTGAGTGAGTTGATGGATTTGTGTGTGGGTGAGTGAGTGAGTGAGTGGGTACGTTTTGGTGGAGGGGTGATACAATATCACTGACAGCTTCATAGATAACACCTGCAACCTACAGGCCTATATATAGAACTTGATCATACAGTTTAAATAGTGCGGGACCACGTCTTGGAATTTGTCAGAAGCGGGCTGAGAGCAATGGGGCCAACTGGTTGAGTGAGTGAGTTGATTGGTGTGTTGGTGGGTGAGTGAGTGGGTACGTTTTGGTGGAGGGGTGATACAATATCACTGACAGCTTCATAGATAAGACATGCAACCTACAGGCCTATATATAGAACTTTAGTGCGGGATCGCATTTTGGATGTTGTCAGACGCATGCAGAGAGCACTACGGTTGAGTGAGTGAGTGAGTTGATGGGTTTGTGTGTGGGTGAGTGAGTGAGTGAGTGAGTGGGTACGTTTTGATGGAGGGGTGATACAATATCACTGACAGCTTCATAGATAAGACCTGCAACCTACAGGCCTATATATAGAACTTGATCATACAGTTTAAATAGTGCGGGACCACGTCTTGGATGTTGTCAGAAGCGGGCTGAGAGCAAAGGGGCCAACTGGTTGAATGAGTGAGTTGATGGGTGTGTGAGTGAGTGAGTGAGTGGGTACGTTTTGGTGGAGGAGTGATACAATATCACTGACAGCTTCATAGATAAGACCTGTAATCAACCTACATGCCCATATATAGAACTTGATCATACAGTTTAAATAGTGCGGGACCACGTCTTGGATGTTGTCAGACGCATGCAGAGAGCACTACGGTTGAGTGAGTGAGTGAGTTGATGGGTGTGTGTGTGAGTGAGTGAGTGGGTACGTTTTGGTGGGGGAGTGATACAGTATCACTGACAGCTTCATAGATAAGACCTGTAATCAACCTACATGCCCATATATAGAACTTGATCATACAGTTTAAATAGTGCGGGATCGCATTTTGGATGTTGTCAGACGCATGCAGAGAGCACACCGGTTGAGTGAGTGAGTTGATGAGTGTGTGTGTGGGTGAGTGAGTGAGTGAGTGAGTGGGTACGTTTTGGTGGAGGAGTGATACATATCACTGACAGCTTCATAGATAAGACCTGTAATCAACCTACAGGCCGATTCGGGTGGGTTGGTGAGTTAGTGAGTTGATGGGTTGGTGAGTGAGTGTGTGGGCGGGTGCACGTGTGTGAGTGCGTGTGTGTGTCGGAGAGTGTGAGTGAGTGAGTGAGTGGGTCGGGATGTGTGTGAGTGGGTGGTTCTAGGGTATGTGAGTGAATAAGTGAGGTTTGACACCTACTTTATCCAAATTCCAGCGAAATTGGTGAGGTATCTTTAGTAAGAGGGACTGCATATTAAAACCGGGAACCTATTCACATGTCACAGGCGTTTGGTATCGAAGTAATACTCAATAAATGCATATATACTACCAATAAAGCGTTAAATTGAATATTCCTTTTTAGTAAACGGATTTATAGATTACGTGTAATACAATATGTTTAAATCAATTATGAATTACAGCGAAACACAGTACACTAGTCTAAGCCGCCACAATCATTTCACTGTGCTGAGGTGCGTCCCAATCTCATTAAAGTCAGATCTCAGTTCTCGCTACCGCTAAACAAAGATCTGAGGACATCCCATTAGGGGTCACGTCAGAACGACCTTTCATCCGACCAATCAGAGCGTCGCTTACCAGATCATGAAAGTGACGGCCGGAATGTAATTTCTAATCATGCAGGCTCGATAATTTTAAAACGGGGTATTCCAAACGATGGTTACGGGCTTAACGACTAAATCTATACAATCTAGACCAAATATTAACCATTGGAGAATGTTCTTTTGTTTAGGTTTCAAGCGAGAATTTGTCATAATATGTTTCGAATCATAGTCGCCAGTTTGAAATTAGTGCCGTATAGAACGAGAAAGCTGCCTTTTGATTGGCTAATG